CCAAACATCATGCTTGCCAGGACAATGTGCGATGTAGACATGAACGGGTATCCCACACACCAACAATGAACACAAAACCCTAAAATCTGGGGATGTAATGACTCCAGGAGCGTCCATCCGATGGGCCTGGATGCGGAACTTTCTGCCATCCCAGATGCCGATGTCCGAATTCACGCCGTCCTTGGCTTGTATAGCCTTACCTATTAGAATGGGGGTGTAATGCATGAACAAATTGTTACGGAGACCTTGATTCGACCAGAAACAGCGGTGTCTGGACCACTGTGCTAGAGAGGAGGCTTTGGCCAGAAGCACTCCCCCCGAAGCTACCATACCCCGGTCAACTATTCACAAGCGGCCCAGTGCGCGAGGTTTGCCGATGTTTGCCCCAGGCGAAAAGTACCGTGAGTCAGCGTGATGATAAGCTGCGGACCGGTAACTATATACTTGATAAACCTTCGCAACCACAGTTTCCGCGGCACGAAAACTACTTACTCATAACCCAACACAGAACACGTTGCGCAAATAACACAGCCAAATCCCAAACCCGAAAACGTCATACCCCCGAAAAAAAACCTCTACAACAAACCCTAAACCCTAAACCCTAAAACCCCAAACTAAAGCATGCCCCCTGTGGGGCCAGGGGACGTCTCCGGCCTGCGGTTGCAGCCCGAAGTCTCTAGCGAAGCCTGGGCTGCTTGTGGTTTAGGGTTTAGGGTTTAGGGTTTAGGGTTTTTCCTCGTGGCTTTTTGGGTGGGCCTGTTTAGGGCTTACCCATAGGCCCTAAAGTAGTTCCTTTAAGGGTTCATGTATAGAATCCTATAAGGCAATCCCAAGAAGGAACTACTTTGGGGCCTATGGGTAGGGCCTAGGAACTAGGATTTACCGCAAGAGCCTGCGCATCGTGCTGTCACAAACCCTTGGGCCAATTGAGCCGTGCGTAGGACTATCCCACACCGGAATACCTCCTTCTTCCCCCCCCCTTCCCCCCCCAACTCCCCGCCCTGCCAATCGTCAACTGCGCATTGAGCCGTCCACAGAAAGATCTCACCATTCCCACCCTTTCGGGATCTCAAGTCCCAGGCCCAGCTTGTTCGTCCTCGACGAGTAGACCTCAGAACTGCGTCGAATCCCAGGATTCCCCAGCGCAAGGGCCGCACTACGAGGTCACGTTCCTGCGCCAGCCAACCGGCCACAACGGGTGCTTGTCAGGGCCTCCACTTCATGCCTGAAGCCCTTAAACCGACCAGCGCTCAGTCCTCGAGCGTGTGCGCCCTGTGGGCGAGCTATAGCTTGCTAAATCTGCTTTAGCAAAAGGCGCGACCGCTGACGCCGCCAACCCCACCCAATTCCGAGTTTTGTTGGCGTAATTTTAGGGATAGCCATGGGGAGCCACCAAAGGGCGCGCAAGCATGAGCGTCAGCGCACGGCACGCATCATCAGCATCAGTGGGTCCCAGATAAATTAAACACATGCACTTAGGAGATGGGTCCAGGTCACCGGGGAGCCACTTCCAATAAAAAGAGCTTCCACGCACTAAGTCCTGAAGCGTGGACAAGTAAATCATAGTCAACGAAGTTGAGGGAAACAGCAAGACCCTCGCCGAGGGTACATAAGCATCCTGATAACCTATGTTGGCCTGAGTGCTGAGTGACAGTTATTCGAGGCTGCTGTATGGCTGGAAGCCTTGACTCCAATCTGAGATTCCCCTGCATCTACAAGCCTTGCTAGACTGCATGAGTTCGTGAAGACTGCATCTGTTCATTCTGCATCACGTGTGATGGCTGGTTCCTGGATGCCGCTTAGCAGCCGGAGACGTACCTGTTCCTGGAATATATGGCGGTGCCTCCCACGTCCACAGTCACGTTGGCGAAGCTCCTCCCATCATTGGGTGAGGATACGAGGCTGGAATGACTCCAACATCAGCAGAACACAGTCTGAAGAAGACTCCTTCATTCTCAAGCTCGAGCACCGAACCCGAAAAGACCGGCCCGGTATTTGCAGTACCTTGCAGTGCAGTTTGGAGCCTGCCAATCATCTGAACTTTCATCAACCAACACATAATTGGGTGATTTGCTCAATGGAAGTGCATCTAGGAAGAAATATCTAGTTTCACCTCGCAGCTTACGATCCCGGTTCATATTGTGCTGCGCAGTGTTGGGCAATATATACTGACTGCACTGAATCCTGCCTTTCCATGGCACAATATACCTCAATGCTCCATTGAAGCAGCGTTCGGCCACAGAACCTCGAATGCAGCCCTAACTTTTGATTCTACTCGCATGAACCCAAGCCGCGCCGATTATGTGCCCGTACTGCGCCAAACTTTGGAGCGTCCTCGTCAACGTTCGGCCACCCGGCTCACGGTTAGCCTGCATCAGCAGGTTCGGGTGTGTTAAGAAGGTCTTCGCTCCGCACGGGCAAAATCTGACAAAGGTTTGATCGGGAAACAGCTTCCGACCTGAACCTGTCAGCTGCTGTCTCTGCAAGCCTTCATGAACATCAGCCACGAGTCTTTAACCAACGATGCTCAAGCGAGCGCAGCATCATCAGCATCAGCAGCAAAGCCTTTTTTTTACGCGAAGGCGGTCGAGATGAGCATCAGCTCGGATTTTTCAGCAACGGACGTGCAGCAAGCATCATTAGCAGCCACAAAGTGCTGTTTTGGCGATGGCGGCATATCCGACAAGCGTCATGAGCATCAGCCAGGATTCTTGTCGCAACATGGGCAGGGGGGAGCGAGCATCATGAGCATCAGCCGGGACTGTTTTCCAACGATGTCCAAGCGAGCGAGAATCTTTAGCATCAGCTGCAAGCCGTTTTCTCACGATGATGGCAAATTCGGGCGAGCATCATCAGCATCAGCTGAGGTTTTCTTCTCCAACAATGGCCAGTCGAGCGAAGCATCACCAGCATCAGCCCGGGTTCTTGTGGCAACAGACGGTCAGGAAAACGAGCATCATTGGCGGAAGCCACAAAATGCTGTTTTGGCGATGCTGGCATTCAGGCCGGGCGAGCATCATGAGCATCAGCTGGGATTCTGTTTCCAGCGATTCCGGAATCTGTTTTCAGCCATGACCAGGCGAGCAAAAAACCTTAGCATCAGCTGCACGCGCGGTTTGTTCACGACGATGGCAAAAGTCTGGCGAGCTTCATAAGCATCAGCTATGATTCTTTTTCCAACGGGTGCTGCGTCGTCAGCATGAGCCAAATTCACAGTGCCGGCAAAGGCGGTCGAGCACCCGGATTCTTATGGCAACAGCGGAAGGCAGAGCGATCACCATCATCATCATCAGCTGGCGACGATGGCGGTAAAGCCGGCGAGCAACATGAGCACAATTTCTTCTGGAAGCGATGGTGTGAAGAGCGATCATCATCAGCAGGCAAAGGCGTGCGAGCATCATGAGCATCAGCCCGGATTCTTGTGGAAACGGACGTGCAGGAGAACAAGCATTGGCAGCAGCCACAACATGTTGTTGTGGCGATGGCGGCAAAATAGGCCAGCATCATAAGCATCAGCCGGAAGGAGAACGAGCATCATGAGCATCAGCCAGGATTGTTTGTCCGACGATGCCCAGGCAGGCGAGCGAGAATCCTCAGCATCAGCTGCAAACCGTCTTTTCATGATATCAAAGTCGGGCGAGCATCAGCCGTGATTCTTGTTCCGACGAATCATCAGCATCAGCTGCAAGCGTTTTTCACATAGCGGCAAAGGCAGTCGAGCATCATGAGCATAAGCCCGGATTCTTCTGGCGGCGGCTACGAGGGCGAGCATCATCATCAGCCATGCTCCAACGATGGTCCGGAGAGCGGGCACCATCAGCATCTGCTGCAAACCCGGTGGCAGCGGCGCCCCAATGCCCTAAACCCTAAACCTTGAAGACTAACCCCGGACACCCCACCTCGAAGACCGTGATGTCGACACCGTCACCGAGGAGATCGCGCAGAAAGTGGACGGCGGACCCACCGTTGATGCCGGCACCTCCACGTACTCCGAGCAGCCCAGGGTTTATGGCTTCTACATTACTGGGTTCTGTTCAATAGGGTTCTATATTGCGGGGTTCATATAATATGCTCCGAGTCTTAGAGTTTTTGGCTTTGGGTTTGGGGCTCAGGAATCACCCTAAGGCTCCATGTACCCATATAGTTCATACTTAGGCCTTAAAGTACCTATATACTATATAGGGACCCCTTTAAGGCCTAAGTATCTACTATAAAGCTACATGGAGCCTTTGAAGCAGGTCTTCAGGCGCCTACCACAGCAACGCGTGGCACAGCTGCCGCAGCCGCTGCTGCTAAGCCGAACCAGGCCGGCAGTGAAAGGGGCCGCAGCATGGTAGCGGAGTCGTATGCAAAAGACGGAAGAAATGATAGCAGATGCCCCGTTGCATTGAGAATAGCACTGCAGTACTTGTAAGAAGTATGTCCAAAAATACTCAAGGACCGATGCCCTCTCTCTCTCTCTCTACCTCCCTCTTTCCATTCTAGACCTACTATATACTTATATACTGCTTAGATATTTTATATCTACATATATCCAGATATATGCAGATGGGTAGGTAGGCAGCAACAAGCAGATAAGCCCCACATGGAGAAGAACCACAGCCGCGGTGCTTGAACCGATCCGGATTCTGTGCATCCTCCGTTCCGAGAAGTACCAGCCTCGGAAGTCCCTGTCGATGTGCTTCCCTAAGGCTCCATGTACCCATATAGTAGATACTTAGGCCTTGAAGTACCTATATAGAGACCCCTTTAAGGCTTAAGCATCTACTATATGGGTACATGGAGCCTTTGGGCTTGTTGCTGCGATAAGGTACTGTATGGGCCTCAATAATTACCAATACGCTTTTGGGGGGTTCCTGTCACAGTCATAGTATAACATACTGCAAAGCCCTATTCTAATGATTAAGGCCCCTATATTAGAATTATAATCTGGTCTCTTGCAGCCAGGGCCTGAAAGGAAAGCAATTCTGGTGGCAGTGGTGCCATCATGCGATCAGCAGTTCAGTCTCACGATGTGATACTTAACAACTGCACACCCACTCTGACCCGAAGTGACAACCCTGTCCTCGTCTGCTTTTTTATCGGCCATCTTCTCCTCAACAGGTACAGTATACTATTGTGGGGGCTCCTTATTATAATTATAGTATAATATACCCCCCAAAACCCTATTCTAATAAGAGCTTGACAGAGCTCTCGCTAAAGATCTGGGTGCAGAGGGTCACATGGGGCTTGTTCAACGTCAGGGCTCTCTTTGAAGCAGGGAATCTAGCATGCGCTTGCTGCCTGGGCTAAGCGAGTATAACTTATAACAGCAACGTTTTACTGCACGGCTTTAGTGCTATCTACTGTTGTCAAGGTATATATGCTTTCGCATGCCTCATTAACAAACAGAAATCCTACTAGCGCTCTCTGTGTTGGAACGTGGCATTCGGGTGTTTGGGATTAGCTCTTGGAGGAGCTAGGGTTCAGGGTTCTTGGGTGTAGGGTTTTTGCCCTGAATTCCAGGGTTTCGGTGATAGGGATCAGTGTCGAGAGCTTCCTGTCAGGTAGGACGACTGCAGACGGACAGTAACAAGAGCCATGGAAGCAGCAAGACCAGTGCGAATCTTCAGGAGTTTTTGACCGATGCTACAACATAGCTTACGATGAAGGAGCGGGCCATGGCAGTGAGAACAATGCAACATAAAATGAAGCGGCTGCTAACTCAGATGATGATGGCGCCTATCTGAGAATAGCCATGTGAGGGCCGTTGATAATGATTTTAGTGAAGGAGATGATGTTGCTGATGGGGTCCTGACTCGTTCTTATCACCATCACCATCAGTATCATCACTGTCATGACCATCATCATCACCGGGATTGCGTGTAGAACTTCCGGTGAAACAAGCGCAAACAAAACTACCAACGATTCAATAAAGTCTGAACCATGTAGTGCTAGCAGTAGTCACTTACAAGTCAACCTTGGCACTCTTCCCCCTCAAACAAAACAGCGTAAACATCTCTAAACCAAACTTCCTGAACCTCACGCCCGCCTGAAGGGCTTGCATGGCGAACTCGCGACGCTCGATGTCCTCACGGTCCGCCTTGAGCTTATCCTTGACCTTCGAGCTGGTCGTGTGCAAACACGTCCAACTACTCCCTGGCACTGGTTAGCTAGGGTTTAGGGATTAGGGCAATATAGGGGCCTTCATAACTACCCATTCTATTTCGGAGGCTCCTTATTACAAGTATAGTAGAATATACCCCAAAACGCTGTCTAATTATTAAGGCCCAGCATATAACCATTTGGGTGTTCAAGCCTTCTCCAAATTCCCTGTCGCTCGCAGGTACAGTGAAATGTCATCATCCTTGGGGACCCTTGTTACGTATACAGGAATAAAACCAATGTGTGCATTCATGTGTGTGTGTGTGTATCTATATATCTATATATACAGACATGTATAGCTACACATGCCCAGAAACATGCTGCTTCCGCCACCAGCATTGCCGCCATCATCATCAGCATCACAATCATCATCATCACCATCATCATCAGCAGCAGTGGCAGCAACTCTAATCATCGTCAACCCACTCACAATGGGAACCATCGTGGTGATCGTAATCAGCGTCTTCTTCTTTGTCATTCTCGTTAGAATTGTCAATATCGGACAACCTGACGACAAGTTATCACTTATCACTGGTCACAACTCGACGCGGGTGGGCCTCTCGGCCACCGTGCTTGGTCCACGAGGCTGAAGTGTCTTAGGACTAAGGCAGTTTGGAGCCAACATCAATTGACACCCGACGCCCCTCGAAGCCCGGCAAAGTGGTATAGTATAGAACGTAAAAAAAACCGGAAGCCCGAACCCTCAGCCCAAACACTTGAACCGCAAAAATGCCTCACCTTCAACCCTCACCCGGGACTGCCCCTGGCCTAATCCATAAAGCAGCATGTTTTTCAGGGCACGCCCACGCTTTCAGGCGAAGCGGCGATGATTTTGTGATGGCGGCTGCCACTGTAAAAATAAGATCAGTTGGCTGAAGATGGAGAAGGACGTCGCCTGAGAGCCGCCCGAAAGTGCTATGCCAAGTCGGGCTTCAAGGTTTATGCGAAATCTGCATCAAGCTTTCCGCCGTGCAACTGTAGTGATGGCGGCTGCCACTGTAAAAATAATATCAATTGGCTGAAGATGGAGAAGGACGTCGCCTGAGAGCCGCCCGAAAGTGCTATGCCAAGTCGGGCTTCAAGGTTTATGCGAAATCTGCATCAAGCTTTCCGCCGTGCAACACGGCGGAAAGCTTGATGAAGATTTCGCATAAACCTTGAAGCCCGCCTTGGCATACCACTTTCGGGCCGTTTCGTTTCTCCAGCACCGACAACTTCACTTTGGAGATGGAAGCACCCAAATTCCGAGCGCGCTTCTCGGCAGCTTCGAGTAGCACACCGCCTACTCCTCTTCCTTGATGAGGCCTGTCCACCTTGCAGTGGGTAATCGTCAGCGTCTTGTCTGCAAAAGATGCATGGACGTATCCAGCCAGGGTTTGGTCTGTGTAGAGACTGCTGGGAGAGTGAAGGCAGATGGGCNNGGCGAGAGCCACTTGCTAACTGCTCATTCACTTTCAAATGCTCTTTCCCGTCATCCATGCGGACGTTGCCTAGAGCAGCAGCTTGCTGTGTAGTCACCTGGGGGTACCACGTCGCGTTTTGGTGCAGATGCGCGCGGTCCCCGGCGAACTCAAGCTCTGAGCACCGAAGGCGTTTCGAACAGTCTGTGACAGTGGAGCAGACAACGTACCTCAGCTGTTCCGTAAGATCAAGCGAAATTGTGATTCAAACCGAGAACTCGTAAAAACATGAAGCCTTCGTTGCCCTGCTCACAACAGCAAAGAAGCTAATCCTTTATCAACGCAGAATGCTTGCAGGCCGGGGAGGGGGCTGAAGCAGTGCACTGTTTAAACACGACCAGGCTGTGTCTCCCGAGTAACGATAAGGATCACAAACATGACAATGTACCTGCATACATATCACACTGTATGACTATAGATAGTGCCCCCGTTTGGAAGCTGATGTCCATACTAAGTTGCCTACTGAGATACTGCTGGGTTTCAACGAGCGTGTTGTCCTCCCGTCTGTCTATCTGCGGCTCCGCCTCGTCGTAAGCCCATTTCCACTGGGCGAAACGGCTCCGTGCTGCTGCGCCAGGACAGTCACAAGCCCCCTGAAAGAAAGCGAAAAAGAGCGTCGCCAACCCCTGTTGGCGAAGCTCGCTTTCGCTTTCTCTCAGGGGGCTTGTGACCAAATGCTTTAAGCATAGAGTGCGGCGTTTTGCAATAATTAGACCGAACCCAAATCGACGCCGCACGCTCGACAAGGTAGTCGGCCACCGTCTTCCTGGCAGTATCTCTGTAGTTGATCTCGAACAGCCGGTCTCGAGCAGCATTGGACATTTCGGCTTCTTCCGTCATTGCGACGAAACGCACCTCTTGGTTCATGCTGGGCCAATTTTGAGCCCGAGCATCTTGCGAAGAAGACGACTGCTACAGCCTAAGAGCAACTTCAGCGCCTGGCTTGGGTAACTGATAACAGGGTCTGGGTCTAGTGGCTGGGCATGCGGGGGTTTACGATCGCCCCGCCTTCTGCATCATTGTCTCGTGCTTCTCTTGCTCCATGTCCTCCGCAGCAGTGATTTTGGCAGCTACGCGGTTTTTGCATGGCATTGGGATGCAGGCATCCCTAAACCCTAAACCCTAAACCCTAAAATATGCAGGCAGCCCAGAACCGCTTGCTCTTTTAAAGGCTCACGGCCCCTGAATTCTGGGGAGGCAGGGCGCCATGAGACCCCCCCTGACTGAAGTGAACCGAGGAGCCGAGCGAAAGTCCACGTTACTCTGTGACATGAGGATAAGGGTTTAGGGTTTAGGGTTTAGGGTTTAGGGTTTAGGGTTTAGGGGGAAACTATAATACCTATAGTCTCCATTGTATTTCTTTTTTTGGTTTAACCAACTATATATTAAGGATTCTATAAGGTACTGGTATCCCTCAAAAGGAACTACAATGGAGACTATAGGTAGAATAATAAACTGACTAAAAAGACCCGAGCAGCCCCCTCCTTGACCCATTTCTGGTACTCTGCAGTGGTGGCATTCAACTTCTCCAGCCCACGCTTGGCCTTGTTGCGAATGGGGGCACGGACTGTTTGCCAAGTCCCGGGATAAGAGGCAGGTCTCTTTCTGACTTTACGAACGGACTAGAACTTTTCTTTACATCACATTTGTTATGAGTACTCTTTTGGCTTTGCCTGTGCTGCAGATGAGGACGCCAGTGATGACGAGTCGGTCGTGAGGTGATGGAAATGTTGTTTGTTGTGGATTGAAGCTACTCCGTCAATGACATGGCGGTGGCAGTATTAACGGTATTACTAGCCTTAACTAAATAATGGTCAATAGGTAGTAGCACCAATAGTGGCAGTAGCAGGAGTATCTGTCCGTGCCCATGCTGTTGACAAGGAGCACTTTCGGCGATTATCATCTGCCGCTGCCTGAGCGAAGAAGCTCGGTTTTGGGTTTAGGCTTTTCGGGGTTTGGGTCTAGGATTTGTGTAGGGTTCTTGATGTGGGTGAGGATGTGGAAGCTTGAGGTGTTTGGAATGGCGAGAGCGCCTGAAGGGCTATGCGAAAGGAAGCGCCAGCACAGCCGTTTTCAGCTGTCCCTGAGCCACGGATAATTAAGATAGACCCGCAAAAGCCTGAGACTCGGTTTGGGGCCCTTGTGTAATACTATAGGGATCATGTGGCTCCTAAGTGTGCAAGTGAGGTCACGCCCGTTGAGAGAACATACTCAGATCTCAAACCCCAATTCCTGAACTGAGAACTGAAAGAAACTTCAGCAATCAGACCGCGCTCCAGTCCCCCCTTCTTCAGGGCCGCTGGCGCAGGCGTGTTGACGGCTTGGGACGGGAGCTTGAACTTGGGCTTGCTCACGGATTCCTGGGACCATCCGGGCAGAGGCAATGCTACCGGAGACATCAGACAACCATGATGAGTCCTGGCCGGTCTAGATTAATCGGTAGGACGAGGAGTGCTGTCGTGGTTGTAGCAAAAGCAGTAGCGGAAGCAGTGGCGGGGGTGGTGGTTGGTAGTGGTTGTTGTTGGTGTTGGCGGTGGCGGCGGTGGTGGTGGTCGGAGTGGCCGCGGCGGTGGCGGTGGTGGTGGTGGTGATGACGGTGGTGGTAGTGGCAGCTGTGGCAGTAGCAGTAGCAGTAGCGGTAGCAGTAGCAGCGGCAGCAGTTATAGTGGTGGTAGTCGTACAGTAGCCGTAGCAGTAGCATTAGTAGAAGTAGCCGTCGTCTTGGTGGTCGTGGTGGCGGTGGCGGCGGTGCCAGTGCCGGTGCCGGTGCCGGTGCTGGCGCTGGCGCTGGCCCTGGTGCTGGTGCTGCTAGTGGTAGTGTTGTGGTAGTGGTGGTGGTGGTGGTGGTGGTGGTGGTGGTGGTGGTGGTGGTGGGGTTGGGGGTGGTGGTGGTGGTGGTGGGGTTGGGGGTGGTGGTGGCGCAGTAGTAGTAGTAGTCGTCGTCGTCGTCGTCGTCGTCGTAGTAGTGGTAGTAGTAGTCGTGGAGCCGTAGCAGGGGCAGCCTTGCGGGGACTTGGGTTCATAGGTTCAGGGACTAGGACCCCTTTGTCGCAGACACAGGGTCCAGCCACGACCTGTACTCCTGCTCCCGAGCGGTCACCTGATCAGGGTTCTACAGAAGATTTCGTCTGCAGCTTGAGGCTTAGAAGGGTTTAGGAAGTTTAGGGGGGGGGGGGATTCAGGCGTCGTGGGCTTTGACGTCAAGGATGGCCTCGCTCAGCCATGGAGCCTTTCAGGTTGTTGAACTGTTCTGCTTCGGATTCGCCTCGACGATGCAAGTGTCGTTTCCCCTGGTCTGCCCCAGGGTCAGAAAGGGTGGTCAATTCACAAAACAACAAATACAAAAACCCTAAACCCTAAACCCTAACCCACAACTTAACTTCTCCGAGCACTGAAGCTTGGCAGTGGGGCTCATTTTACGTGAAGAGGGCTGCGAAGTCCCAAAGCGTAAAGAAAAAAACCCAAACCCCAACGCCTCAGGCCTTACAGCTCTGGAGTCTTCAAAGGCTCCCCCCCAAACCGGCAAAACATGGAATCCTACTCTTGTTGGACAAAGCCCAGCTACGTGCCCCATGACCTGGACCATTTGCCCGGTTTGCCCCGAACCCTCTCCTAGAACAACGCCCGCCTCCTTGTTCAAGGCGGCCTTCTTTTCTGCTACGAGCTCCTGCTGCGATGCTGATGGCATTCAGGGATCTTGAGCTCAGCTTGAACTTTGTCTTTGGTCTAGGGCCTCGTCTAGGGCTTTAGGATGTGTTGGCCTTGGCGCTGTTGTTTGTCAGGGTGCCTTAAGGCGTAAGCTGGTCAGGGTTTGGGGTTTAGGGTTTAAGCTATTAAAAGAGTCTCAGAATTTCCTCGCACCGCGGGTCAGGGGAAGTGATCCCAGACTCAGAAGGTCCTTGAAGCCTTGGGGTTCTGGGTTTAGGGCTTAAGGGGTTTAGGGTTCAGGGCTTAGGGTTTAAGCCCTGAACCGGGTTGAGGGTTTAGGGGTTTAGGGTTTGGGCTTGAGGGCAAAGCTCAGGGTGTTCAGGGACCTTGGGTCGAAACTGAGGGGCCGGGAGTCTGTCTGCCGCTACATTGAGATCCTCTATGCCCTCAAACCTAAACCCTGAACCCCTGAAGGCTAAAAAGGGGAACCCTTGGCTCTGAAGCCTCATTCCCTGTTGCAGTTCTTGCTATATCTTCGACCGTCTACCAACTAAAAGCTAGCAAAAAACACCTAACGGCTAGCGGCTACCCATTGCAAGCGACCAGCGATCACGGTAACCGTAACTGGACAGTCACAAGCGCAAGAAGAGTAATCGTGACAGCTATAGAAACAGCAACAATGGCGGCAGCGGAAAGAGTACAACAACGCAAACAACAACCATGTGCATGAAACTTAAACATGAATATCGATCGATTTATATATATATATATATAATCAACAGCCAAGGAAAAAAACGATAATTGCAACCAAATGCCGGCCTCCACGCTTCGCACCTCGAACTTCTGGATCGGCGCCACCCCAGGTCGCGCCTGGACGGCCTGCTGCGGGAGTAGCTCCTTACTCTAATTACCAAAACCTACTTTTTTGTAG